CCCCAAAACCCCAAAACCCCAAAACCCCTGGCTTAAATGAAGATATTGAAGTAAATTTAATGTAATAATTTTTGATTCATGCAAGGCTCAATAGACCTCCGGAGTCCATCTAAGTTCCGTCTGAGTCCCAGTCTTGGCTTTCTCCGCCTAGATTTTGAGTACCGAACATTAGGAAATTTGAGACTCCTAAAACGAGTAGTAGCCGAGGCTCGACGATCTCCTATTGTTTGAGGGTCGGATTGGTTCCTCGATGAAACATTCTCGGGTAGATGCTTCTTCAAACTCTATACATCAACTGTCAGAAATACCTTGATGACTTTGTTCTTCCTGTTAATACTAAAATGCCCTAATGTTGTCTTCTGGATTGTATGAATTATGCTCCTATTTGGCTCGATTCTAGGAATTGAAGACTCTTTCTCTGCATCATTTTTCTTCAAAACAAACTTTAACTGACAAATTTTATTTATCAATGGCTGCTTTTAAGTCAAGAGCTAGCACATTTATTTTGGAGATCAGCGACTGCTGGTCTTCAAGAGTCATATCTGTTTGCATCCTTGCCCTTCGGACGTGAATGATCTGTTGCTTGATCTCCTTGAGAAGCCTTTGAATTTTCTTGATCCCTGGTACTGAGAGATACTGGACAAATTCATTACCCGAAATTTCGTTTAATTTCTTCTCTCGAAACTGCTCACAAATGTAAAGAAGGTGTCACAAATCATTTTTGTATTGCATTTGAGGCATCTCTGTTGCAGGATGCTTCCTAGACTTTTGGGCATCAGTCGACATTTTCCGATTGGATGAGAAATTCTTTAGCATGCTTCGAATTTTTCCATCACCTAAAACTTTAGATTTGAGTTATTACCCTTGACATGATGCAGCCAAACGTGAGAGGTTCGAAGAGTAATCTTTGGTCTATATTTCTTCAAGTACTCCTTTTTATATGACTCTGCTGGCACTTTTTGCTGCATTTCACCAACTTTGCTTCTTCTTATAGAGGAGGATTTTTCTATTCCATTCGAATGGGTTAAATCATTGAAAACTTTTTGCAAAGTTTCATTCTGAATTGGAGGTTTACTACTTGAACCCGACTGTTCATTCTCTTCAGATCTATATATAACCAAGTTTAGTTACTGCTGGGAGTCTTGAGTCTCAATTGAAGGTCTTGCCTTGCCCTTGAATTCAGCTTCTGTGTCAAGCCCAATGCTACTCTCGGTGATCTATAATAAGGCAGGAGTTGTACTTTGAAATATTCACTGCTTTCTTGCCCATAAGTCTCACATTCAGATTCCTCGATTTCTGAATATTTTATATAGAATTCCTACTTGAAAGTTCAAAATTTTGGAACCGGTTAGCACGAGTTGTCTTTTTCATCTTTGGAACAACCTCTTCTAAGGGATTAGATAGGAGATACGTACTGAACTTCATGCTCTGTGACTTTTGCCGTGAAGTCTAGGAGATTACTCACAGTTATTACTATGTCATTGAAATCGAACTCTTCATCATCATTTTCAGGTGAAGACTTCCTCTGAGATTTCTTCTTGATTTCAGGCGACAGTGCAAATTCTTTCCTGAAATCTGTCATTTTTAGCTTAACTGAGAACATCTCTATATGAGAGTGGTGAGAGGCATTCATCAAAATTTTGATTTTAAAAGGACTTTTTGGGAACTCCTTGACTCGGCGAAACCTAGTACGTACTTCTGACACCTAGACAATGATACTAATTAAAATACTTTTCTTTTTGTTCTGAGGTTCTTCTTCCTGAATAATCATGCTATTTAGTCTTTGCGTGGCTATAAAGATGCATGATAGATTATTAAGGAAAGCTATCACCCAATATTTGATAATAATTTAGTTTGACATTAACCATGAAAGCTTACCTGATGGCTCTATCTAGGCCTTCTAGGATGCTCAATTTCTTCTCTTCATACTCCTGTTTTATAAATCCTTTAGTAGCCTGGATCATCATTGGAGAGAATTTACCTTATCTGATCCTGACATTTAGAAAGTAAGAATCGTTCAATATTTATATTTCAGGGAGGGGTTTTGGGGTTTTGGGGTTTTGGGG